TTTAATTTATTGTTTTCTTTCTTAGGTTGCTGACAACCTGATAACCTGTTATAGTACCAGCAAATGCTGGTATAAGTACCCTGGTACCATTGATCTACTCGACTCCTTGCAGAAGAAGAATGTTGCTTTGGGAGTTATCTCAAATTTTGATCAACGATTGGAATCAATTCTCAAAGATGTTCAAATTCGTCAGTATTTTGCCTTTGTTCTGACCTCATATGACTTTGGAACAGAAAAGCCAAGTTTGCCAATATTCCAGGAGGCATTAAGATTGGTGAAATCTTCTCAAGAAAAGGAAATATTACCTCAAGAAGCGACACACATCGGCGATACAGTAGATAACGATTATTTTGGAGCAAGAAGCGCCGGTTGGAATGCTTTATTAATAAAGCATGACGATGAGATTATTGAGAGCAAAGTGCCAAAGGAAGATGTTTTTAAAAGTTTAAAAGAACTTCAAAGACACTTTGACAGAGTGCTTAAAACGAGTTATATAACACAATGATAATTATTATTATTCAATATTTTAGATTTATTTAATAATATAGAATTATTTATTTTAATATGGAATTTAATAATATAGAATTATTTAATAACAATTTCTATGTGCCAAAGAAACAGTCTGATAAGGAAAAAGTTAGTGAAATGTGCAAATTTACTAATTTATATAGAAATTTATTTTATTTTATATTCATAATATTTTATTTTTTTTAAATGTTTTTATATTTGTGTATTTATAGATTTATGCAATTTTTTTTTTATTTTATGTATACTTCTAGATATTTGATATATATTACAGGGTGTTCAAAAATTCGATATCGAAAGGTAATAGAACAGACCAAAACAAATGTTTTTTTATTAAATAACCATGGGTCTGAAACTAAGATTGGGCGACTTGTGAACCTGTACAGATAAAATAAGAGACTGGAGTAGGTAATTATCTGTAAATGAGAATAAAATGATATTACAATTTGCATTAATTTATTATAACAATCAATGTTCAAAATACTACGAAAATGTATGTCCGTAATCTCTCTCTCCGCGTGTAGTGGTTCATGTTGATACTACGATAGTAGAGAAACGGTAATGAGTTACTGGGACTTTCCAGCAAGTGACACAAGTCGATACAAACATTGTCCTATTTTTCTTTTTTGGCAATGAGTAACAAAGAAAACGATACTTGTGTCGACTTGTGTTGCTTGCTGGAAAGCTCCCACTAGCGCTAGAGAGAAGATTGGACGCGTTCAGCAGACAAAGCAGATCAGTGATTGCTCTAATTCTTTAATATGATTGATTTTTGCCTTTAGTTCTTCGCTGGATCTAAGTATAGGAACTAATCATAATGAGAGCGTTCTACCTCTATGAAGCTAACCGACAGAAATGACTAAATTTGATTATTTTTAACTTTTCGAAGTGTATTTCGTTTGTAAATCGTTTGTGATTGATTGTGAATCCGTTTTTAACGTTTGTGATCAAATAGGTTTTTTTGTAATTAACAATTTTATTTTAGTCGTAGTACAGTTATTAATCTTCTACTTGCATACGTGGGTCTACGGCGCGGCGTCCGTGACAAAACATCTACTCGTAACTTGAAAATCGGCAAGCCTGCCTATCTGGCTCCCTCCTTTAAAAAAAAGTAGGTGAGGGAAGGAATCCAAGAACCCAAAGCCACTTCGAAAGATGAACATATCGCTGAATGCTGAATGCCGAGCAAGTCAAATCTTGCACGGACGTCTCAGATGACTTTAGTATACACTCGACATAGTCTTTGTCTGTAAGTAACAATGTTGCAATTATTTATGATAAATGTTATTTTTAGTCAAAACAATGTCCCTTTAAAAGATTTTGACAAATAGTTGCTTCTCTCAAGTTTAGTTATTACGAAAACATGGAATTTTTCGGACGGTAGCCGAAGCTTGGCGGACAAATTTTTTTCATAGTCTACTTTAATTATATTATATTACATAAATTTGTAATAAATTATTTAAAAATGTCGTATATGTGTCATATTATAAAAGTACCATTTTAACCCTCCTGAATATTTTAACTTTTTTAAAAATATCAATCTGCACTCTTTTTCTTGAACACTTACCTCTGAAGTAAAAAACCTTAAGGACGTTCTCTCGTCCTTATACTAGAGAAAATCGATTTTCTTAGGATTTTCTTGAAACTGTGAATATACGTTAATTTAGGTGTGCTTTATGCGTGGTATAAATTTCAGTATCTCTTCCGGTATAAAAGATCAAGATACTGAGCCTAAAAGTTTCAACTTTTACTAATGAAAAGGTTTTCCAGGCCAAACGGTAAGAGATACGAGGTTGGCCAAGAGGACAAAAGTTGCTCCTCTCGTCGAGTTCTATAAGGAAAAAATCCCAAAACTAAAAAAAAATTAAATTTTAAATTTTTTTTTAAACTTTGAGGCTCAGTATCTTTATTTTTTATACCGAAAGAGGTACTGAAATTTATACCACGCATAAAGCACACCTAAATTAACGTATATTCACAGTTTCAAGAAAATCCTAAGAAAATCGATTTTCTCTAGTATAAGGACGAGAGAACGTCCTTAAAAGGATTTTTTTATACTGTACAAAAAAAAAATTAAAAATTTTTAAAGAAATTCATCTCTTTCCTTTATTCATATTCAAAGTTCATTAAAAGTAAAATATTAAATAAACGATGTTTATCAAAATGACTATAAAATCGTCAACTACAGACTGCGTTCCGGTATTCATTGGTTGGATTCGGGGAGCGCGCTATTAGCGCTATTTGCTTATTCAATCCTTGTTTTACACCTGATGAGCGATAAAGATAGAATGATGCAATACGCAGCCCAAGTCAGTACTGAAAATCTATACACTACTGGCTACGTTTACACCCTGAAATTAGGCCGCGGCCTGTACCTCAAATTCGACCTAAATTAGTCCGCCTGCTGTAAACAGTTGATAGACGACCGGACCTGGCTTCAGATCAGGTCGCGTATTTTAGTGACCCGACCTGAAATCGGCCGTTATCATTTGCGATGTAAACGCGCGATCAAGCGCGATGTAAAAGCTTCATTTGCTTGTTCGGATTCGCTGCAATTCAGGGCGATCCTAAATACGATCCTGTCAATTTTTAGGTTCCTTTCGGTGTAAACGAATGATGACTAGACCTACTTCGGGTCACAATATAGGTCAGGCGATCAGGTCGCTGGGTGTAAACGTAACCACTGACCGGCAGGAATGCCTGGACATTTTGATATGTATATGACATATGTGTACATGTATATGTATATGTATTATGTCCAGGCATTCCTGCCGGTAGAGTGTATGTACGTGACGTAAACTATAGATTTTCAGTACTGGCAGAGTGAACATAGCCACAATGTAGACAGATGTTTTGTGAATTTTTTCAGATTTTTTAAAATACCTTAAGGTGGTTCATGCATTTAGGTCAAATATAGTTAGCCCGGAAAATGTGATATAAAATGAAAGATTAACGTTCCTAGCGTGTGTCTGTAAAATTTCGGATTTTTTAACCGTTTGGTTCCGGAGATATATGTCCGTAAACTTTGCCAATTTAACGCGAGGGGGTAGCCCCTCTTGCAAAAAACGAGGCTAAAGCGCTTATGCTATAAAAATAACAATACTTCAAAAATAGATGAACGAACCAAAAACTGACGAAACGATGCAATAAACATTTTGCAAGATACTGGACGAAGCCCGAGTTTATTCACCGTACTAAGTATATAATAATAAAACGTAATTTTCGATTGACTAAATCGACAACACGGAACTGACAGCTCGAGCGGCATTAGCGGCAGCTTGGCAACGCATGTGTCAGCTGATGAGTATATAGCGCATATCCCAAAACATTCAACGTTTACCATGTTCTTGGACGCTGAATAAAGCAAAGAGTGAAACAAAAATATTCGTCCATTTCTAAAAAGAATTAAAATTAAGTTTGATCAAGATCTGCAATACTGAATAAATACAAGTTTTAATACAATGAGGTTATAAAATGTCCAAATAATTTTTACATGCATTGTTTATTCTATTTATCATAAACGTTGCCGCGCTGCTGTTCTACATATATTCACACGGCTCACAACTCTAATAAAAGATGTGACTTTCGTCTCAATATTTTAATTACGTAGAGGTCGTATAACATTAAAGATGTCATAAATAATAAATCTAATTATATGCTGATTTTTACGGACAAAAATTACACTTATTTATCACTAATAAGAATAGTTGCACGTGGACGTGGACACGACAGATCCATGTATGCACTGTGAAAGTCCAAAAAAAAACGTATGCAGGTGGAAGGTTAACTAAACTGATTTTGCAAAATAATTAAGAAATTTATTAATTTACAAACATGCAGCACTGATATATTTGTAAATCACAAACGATTTCCTATTAATTGCAGTTATCGCAAAATCTGTTTATTACTAAAAGTGTCGGCTGAAATCACGACTAAAATAAAATTTTATTAATTACAAAAAAACTATTTGATCACAACTAAAACGTTAAAAACGTCAATACAGCAAATAACCAGCGGCGAATGCATCGACTCTATAATACTATTATTATTACAATTTGTGCGCCTCTTATAATATTCTATAGACTAATATCCGTTGTATTATTTATGTACCGAAAAGAGTCTGAATCTGTGAAAGATAGACCGAAACGTATGTAATTTATATTATTTTGTATATTTATATATTAAAATATTTATGTATTATATGTATGTACATAACAACGGCATCCCACTCTTATTTGCCTTATTTTCAACGAAATACATTTAGAAAAGTTATAAAAATAATCAAATTTAAATTTCAGTTGACTAGCTTCATAGAGGTATGTGTATGTGTATGTATACACATACATACATAATCCGGCGTTTAAGCGTAAGCTGCGTAAGCAGACTGTGAGAACGAGTGTAGAAGGCGCCAATGCCAGAGCCCAGAGCCAGGCGTCAGGAACAGCCAGAATTGCCAGGAAGGGGTGATGCATGGCGGGAGGGCCGAGGGCCGATAGCCGAGAGCCGAGGCCCGAGAGCCGGGCAGCCGGGAGTCAGGAGTGCCGACTGTGCCGAGTGCAGCCCACGGGAGTCCGGGAGGTGGATGTGTGCAACTGTAAAGTGTAAACGGCAAGCGGCGTCGCACCGTTACTCATCGGTGGTCCACGGCGGAGTTGAGCTCGCGCGTCGTCCAGCATCCATGGAAGGCTAATAGGAGATGCACGATCGATAACGATCGCTCGACGGTGGTGATCTTCGTCGATGGACGCGCTTCCTAACCTCAAAGATAACCTCGACACTGCCGTCGGTGAAATTCGTGAATAGCGAGAAGAGTCTTGCCGAGTATCCGGACAGAGAGAGAAAGATAGAAGAGAGAGAGAGAGAGAGAAAGAGAGATATTTTTTTACCTCGGAAGTATAAGATGAGAGGGAACACGATATGGAACCTGCTGTTGCTTGTGGGATGCTGCGTCCTGGCCGATCCTGAGGCCGATCCTTCGGAGGAACTGTTTAATCGGCTGCCGAAAAATCGCAATGAGGACAAGTGTTACGATGAGAACGGCAGGCCGCAGGTTCGTCCCGATTGTTTATGTTATTTAAAAAACGTAAAAAAAAAGGATTATTATCTATTAGCTTCAAAAAGAAAGAATATATTACAAGCTACTTTATTTAATATAACCGATATTGTGAAAAATCAAGACACGGTAGTGTTTTGCGCTAAGTATGTATTTGACAGAAGTATTTTCATAATAGTGTTTTTTTACTTTTGTTTCCTCATAGAGGAAGCTTTGTTTTCGTTAAAAAAAAAATTTTTTTTTGTTTTTTCTGAATGTGTTCAGAATGTTCTAAAACGTCGAAAAATTGCAATTTTAAAAAATATCTGTATGTATGTGTGTGTGTGTGTGTGTATGTGTGTGTGTGTGTGTGTGTGTGTGTGTGTGTGTGTGTGCCAAATTTACCGAAATTTCTATAAGTCCAGAACTAATCAACCAAATCTTAACGAATTATATATGAAATAGGGGTAGAAAAAACTGAAGAATATAACAGAATTAATAAAAATTGCTAATAATCAAGGGGTTCTTTTTTTAATAAAATTTTGAATTTTTTCAGAAATGTTTGTTTATGCTTTAATTTCCGCAAATTTGGAGATATCGATCTATTTCTAATTTTATTATATTTTTCAGTTTTTTCTACCCCTATTTCATATATAATTCTTTAAGATTTGGTTGATTAGACTCAGCTTTATACGCGATCAAAGGTCCCTAATTTTTAGAAAAATGTCTGTAATAGCTTTAACTTCCGTAAATTTTAAGATATCGGTCTATTTTTAATTTTGTTATATTCTTCAGTCTTCTCTATTTCTATTTTATATAATTCTTTAAGGCCGGTATTCATAGTCGGGTCTTATATTCAAGATCGTCTTAAGTCTAGTCTTAAGGCGTCATCAGTCAATCAGAGGGCTGTATTAGCATCTTAAGACGTCACTTCCTCTATGAGGAAGCCAAGTGCAAATTTTTTCACATAAAATTGTATCAGAAAAGGTAGAGAGGTTGTACAAATCCTTTTTTCGGTGCAATGTATTTCATATATATTTTTATTAATTTTCTGTATAAGATGAATAATATTTTTACATAACATTTTAATATTATAACAATAATTTTTTTACATATAATTATCTATTATTATAATTCTCTATTATGTAACGCTTGTGATTTTTACTTAATTTTATAATGTTAATTTTTTTTATATAATTATATTTTTTAAATGCAACATATGTATTATTTGTTAATCTTTTTCTGACATTATTTTTTTCAAATCAATTTTGTTTTAATATTTTTTAATAAAAAACAGCTACCCGTGCTTTTCTCATCGTCAATTAAATCAGTTCGTAGCTCTGGATTTTGGGAGGATGTTAAGGTTATCATGGGGTTACTCCAAGTTACTTGAACCCGCAGATAAATTGTGTGGGCCATGATATAAATGGACGAGATATCATTCGCGAAGCTCGCGAGATATATCTTCTGTATTAGAAATAGAATTCTTTACTATTTAGGTCAATTAAGATTTGAGAAAATTAGACCTGATCAAATTTCTTATGTTAATAATACTTTTTATATTAATTAATATTTTTTAATATTAATCACAGATAAATATTATCTAATTTTATATTTAACGTATTTATTAAGTATTTTTATCATATAAATTTAATCGTATTGAAGAATATAATACAGTTATATCTATATTTATATTATATCTATAAAAGGAGACTTTTTTTTATAGTAAATTTATAATTCTATTTAAAATATTAATATTAAAAAATGTATTAAAAATTGTTCTATTACTTATTTAAATGGATTTATTGTTTACCTAATTTAAATTTTAGTTTAATTTTAAATAACAATAAATCTATAACGCGTTGTTACATTAAAAATGTAAAATAATATAAAATATATCGTAGAAGGTTTCTCGAGCGTTACACGAGATGGTCATGTCTCTCAACTAAGTATATATTCTGTTCCATTTCTATCACCGACCTTTTACATAATCTTTAATTGTGACTCACATATTTCTGTAATTTAACGCACAATGTTCTACCATTGTTAAATTAACTTGATAAGGACCCAAAGTAAGGGTACGTCGTTATATTAATGAATTACCGCCAGTTAGGCCGACTCACACGTCTTTATTTTATTATTTTATATTGGCGAACTATAATTGTATTGAATATTGTAGAAGATTTATTATTTATTATAGATTTTAACAGAATAACTGTGATACAATTTATTAAGGGGGGATTCCAGTTTAGCTGGACAAAAAATGATTTTTTTAGGAATTTTTGTTTAGAAAACTAAGTGATATTGGATTAATTTTTTGATAATATAAAAAGGCATTTCTAAAGAAGAAAAAGATATGTCGGTTTTTCAATTTTATTAATTTTTGTTGTGTTGGCATTCAACTTTGTGGCACAACAATATCGGTAGCGCAACGGTTATCGGCATGCAGTGTAGCAACGAGCTGATTTATCTGAAAGCAAAAAGCTAAAATTTCCTTTAAAGCTTAGTCAATTACGCGGGGGTTAAACCTAATTGCAAATAAAAATATGAAAAATTGAAGGAATTACAGCAATCGCAAAAAAAGTGACATTTTTTTCGATAAAAAAAAATCAATCTTTTATTGTTGATAAAATTGTTATAAATAAACAATAAAGTGTAACGGTAGATTCAATCCCTGGAGAAAATTATAAGGAATCGAATCGTACTTGGCAAAAGTTATTTGATTGATTACTTTTTGAGTTATCCTGCACGCCAAGTTAGAAAAAGTAGTTTTGAGAAAAACGCGTTTAAGGGGATGTTAAATACCGACAATTGCAGTCAAAGCTCGTTCTTTGAAACGGCTTTATAGATCGCAAAATCCTTTTACAAGAGTAAAGTATAGGTACTAATGAAGAGTGGGATTATAAAAAATTAGTGATAATTGAAAAAAATGTAAAAAGTTGTCACCTCATTTTCTAATATAAACAGTTGTATAAGTAATATGTACGAAATGAAATGTTCCCACTCTTCAGAAGACGTACACAAACAATAACGAACCTTTGAAATTGAGATTGAAAGCCTGGAATAAAAATGAGAGCTTCGAAGAAATTATAACCTATAACCATGTCTATCCTTGTCTATCATCATTTTCTATACAAGAACAGATATAGAATTTGGTCGGTAATACAAACGGCTTTAGCATCCCCTTAAAGTTTATTTTTTTACTGTTAGCCGAAAAAGCACGTAAAAATGCATGAAGAGTTCAGTATAAAGGTTTTTGAGATCGCTGAATACGAATTTGATATCAGATTTTCAAAATTCAAAAAGGCGGATTCAATATGGCGGGTCAAAAGAGTTACAGTTGAATAAAGAAATAAAGTTTTTGATATTTTCACGATACTTACAGTTACTTAAATAACGCTCAGTCTGCTATTTCGAGCTCATAAAATGTTTTTCTCTTTCTCGAAGAATTGTTGTTCGGCGGTTTTTATCACAGTTTACACACGCGCACACACACACACACACACACGTAAATACAGATACACGTTTATACCAGATAGGGCCAAACATATAGTTGAGAATCTAGGCACGTATAAACAAAATTTTATTGTTTCCACATCGATAGAATGTCGAGGAAACTGTAAAATCGGTACAGCCGCATACTTGTGCTGTATCCGATTCAAAGCGAGTTTCACTAAAGGGCTCTAGTTTCGTCAATTTTATAAATTTAACGATAACACTTTGGGAATATATTCTTGAAGCTCTCTGCTATTTATTTATGCAAGAAAAAAATTTTGACTTATTTGACCAAGCAAACTGGAATCCTCTCTTAAAGTATATATAATTATAGAGTTATATTTTAAAAGTAAATTAAATAATGTCATGCTATAAAAATTTAATTAAATAAACATCGCGTGGTGTGTTTTAGAGATGTATACCGCCGTTCGAAAACGCGGCTTTCAACGTGCTGATGGAGGCGACCAACACGTGCGGCGAGGACCGTCCCATCGAATTCTGTAAGCAGACGGGCGTGCAAAAGAAGTCGTGCGAAATTTGTCGACGCGGCGATCACTCAGCTTCTTTCCTCACTGACCACGATAATAATGACAACGCTACGTGGTGGCAGTCGGACACCATGTACGAAGGCATCGAGTATCCCAACCAGGTCAATCTCACCCTTCATCTAGGTACATTCTTGTTGTAATATATCTGGGATACCCTAGTAGAAGATTTCTGTGTCTCTACACTGAGAGACATAGACAGTCGCTGGTTTATACTTTCTCTCTTTTTCTCCATGTCTCTCTTCCATTCTCTCGCTCTCGCTTACTCTCATTTGACTTCCTTATCTATGAGGATGTACGCGCGATGAGATAAATCATACAGTGTACAAAGGATGATAGAGAAACCACAGTGCTCTCGTGAGCTTTAAAAATGAATTTATTCTTACGAATTTATTTTTGTTCTTAATTGATTTAGGATCTGGTTCAGCAGTTAGAATATTTTAACTTAGAAATTAGAACGTTTTGAACCAATTGGTCAAATTTTTCGATTGTGTATTTTAGACAAATTTAATTAAGTTTTACTTGAATTTAATTTACACAAACTTCAGGAATTTTATCTTGACAAATTATGTATATGTCAATCACAGTTATTTTTTATGGTTTTTTCTTCTGAAGTGGTGAGGAGAAGAAGAAGAGTATACAAAGTGGTCGAAGTTACATACAATCTGTACACCATATGTTCATTCATTAAAGCATCTACCTTCTCTCGCATCTTCTTGCATATCATTATACTTTTACGACTGTATTGATGTGTTATGATCTTATTGTTAGAAGATGACATTTCTAACGATAGAAATAATTTGACAATAATTTTAATAATAATTAATTTAAAAAAATAGTATTTTTAGATCTACAAATTTTGAAGAAAGTTATATTAATCATAAAATGTTTGAAACCGGAATAATTTTAATTTGAAATTTTTTGATATTTTTAATAATAATTTAGATATTTTAAGTATTCAGACTAGATAAAGCGCCTTATATGTATATATATTTGTATAAACTGTTTAAAGATTGAAGTATTTCTGAATAAGAGTAAATAATACATTAATAATTAATTAATTCTTTATTTGTTATTTATATATTTTAGATATAATCTATTATATACATAATTATTAGTAGCACTATTTTTATTTATAACGTTTCATAATATTCTGATTTTAACATGTTTAGGAAAGACATTTGATATAACATACGTCAGAGTACTGTTCGAGTCACCTCGGCCGGAAAGCTGGGGTATCTACAAGCGGAAGAACGAGAAGTCGCCGTGGGAACCTTATCAGTTTTATTCAGCGACGTGCCGGGATACGTACGAGCTGCCCGAATCCAAAGAGACTATTCGCGGTGACGACACTCGCGTGCTATGCACCTCAGAATTCTCTGACATCTCTCCGCTCACCAAAGGCACCGTCGCCTTCTCGACCTTGGAGGGCCGACCCTCCGCCTATTACTTCGAAACCAACCCCGAACTTCAGGCAATTAACAATTGTTAAAAATATTATATTCTTAGTATAATATATAAAAATCAGAAGGATAGTTTTAATTGTGTCTGTAAGATATAATAATATCTTGAATTTTATATTCAAAATTAATTTATTAACGAAATCAGAGAAATTGCAGCCATAAAGAATAATTTAATAACTTAAATTGGTATTTAAAATACAAAGTAATTCAAAAAAACTTAGACTGCTTTAACAACATAATTAAGAGTTTTTTACAGACTGCCTATATTTATTATAATTATCTAACATCTAACAGGTGGTGGTTTAACAAACGCGGTTTGTTTTATAGGAATGGGTCCAAGCGACGGATTTAAGAATCACTCTGGACAGGCTAAACACATTTGGCGATGAAGTTTTTGGCGACGCACAAGTGCTGAAATCTTATTACTATGCAATAGCCGATGTAGCGGTTGGTGCAAGATGCGCCTGCAATGGCCACGCTGGAGAATGCGTAAACAGCACCAGTGTCGACGGCAGAACTCGCAGAGTCTGCCGGTAATAATTTCCTTCTCTTAGTAGTGATTTTTAGCACATACACGCATACACACACACACACGCACGCACACATACACACACACACACGCAATTACATTTTGGCATTTAATATCTATTTATCTTTCTTTTATTTTTTTCTTATTTTTTAAGGCTTCGGTGAATTTTCTGATATTATGTCAAAATAATCATCAAAATAAATTACTTTTTAGCATTACACATACAATTGATAGATTGTGATAAAATGTTTTATTTGCAATAAGATAGACATTTTTAAAAGTAAAATTATAACATTCTATAATTAAGTTAAATTAAATTAGAATTTTCAAACTACCAATAATAATAATAATAACAATTTTTGTCACTTTGCTGCTACCTTTGATAAGATTGTAAGTAATGCTACAAGTTAGAAGCTAAACTTATTCGCAGATGTGAGCACAATACTGCTGGTCCAGACTGCAACGAGTGCCTACCTTTTTACAATGACGCTCCTTGGGGCCGTGCTACAACTACAGATGCGCATGAATGCAAACGTAAGTATTTACGTAAATATTAGATGCATATTTTAATAACTTTAAATGCAATCATCAACATACAACAAATTTTGAATATTAATTCCTTCAGTATCTAAATAAATATTAAAACTGATAAAAAAAATCTATTGAAATCAATGATTTAATTTATTTAAACTTTAGCAAGATACAAGGCAGAATTTAAAACATATAAAACAAGAAATTTTAGTTATTATTGAAATTTAGTTATTAAAAGTGGATAGTGAAAAAAAGAATTATTTTCATCCTTTGCTAACTTTATTTATTATTCTTTTTTTCATTATCTTTATTTTTAGCTTAATATAATTATATCTAATTAGCTTTAGCTGTAAAATTTAATTAGCTAAATATAATTACTATAATTAGTCTAAAGTTGTGTTGAGATTAATCTGAATTGATTAGAAAAAGAAATACATAAATCAAAACAAGAATCGTGTAGTTAAAAAAAAAGATAATAGAATGTAGTTATGTAAAAGTGCCAATTTTTATATTTCTATAATCTCTATTGCAAAATATTGTCGGATATGTGTAATGTGTTATACATAACGGAATCAACTATCAAAAGCCATTACAATTAATCATGTAATAATTTTTTTTATTTTTTATTTAATATTATTATAGAATTTTATTCGTAAATAACTGCTTTTCTAAAATAACTGCATTTATATGCGAAAAAATGTAGACTTAGGTCTTGGTGCCTAACGTAATATGTATCCAATGAGAGACACGGTGAGCATTGCAAACACCATAAGCGACTGCACCTTCGCCATTATTACCTGATACCAGCCTTGCCTTTTACGTTCATCTCCCACTCTCTCTCTCTCTCTCTCTCTCTCTCTCTCTCGAGTGGGGATGCATGGCTTGTGGGGAAGGTACACGGCCGTTCAATGCACTTTTGTCTGCATTCGGTGTACCACAATACCGCGATAAAAGCATATCTGTCCACTGATCAAAATCCTCGAAATCCAGTATAATAAAAGACATAATAAAAAATAGATTTTCGATAAATACCTAAAAAGCAATTTAAGGGAGTGTAATTTGAACAGATCATGTGAAATTTAAAGTGACAGTGATCGAGTATGTGTAACAGTTGAAGTAACAATTTGACATTTATAAGCGAGCACAATTAAACATATAATTATACGATTAAACAATTGTAAATTGTAATCAAATTATAATAATAACCAATAATAAGAAATAAGTTGAATTATAATGCATCGACCTCTGTGAATGTTCTCAGACCGAAAAAAAATGAAATTAATCGTGTTATTAATGATAGCGAATTGCATATTGCCGTGCACGCCGCGGGATAAAATACGCCCTTGGTATTCAGGCTCCAGTAATTATTAACAATGATATATTGTTTATAGAATTGTTCATAATGACATTATATGTATTAACAAGATATTGATCACGATATTCTAAATAAAATTTATATATCTTCGTAAAAACATTTAAATTTCAATATTAAGTTATTATTAAGTTATTAAGTTATTCAAAATTATAATTATTAGATAAACATAATTAAATAATTAGATTTATTATTTATTTAATGCAACTTATTCTCAACAATCTCAACGTCTTCCTGCATTATTCCTTTTCATTGTTATACAATAAATTTTAATATTTAATGTTCAAAAATAATAACATCATCTTGTATGAGGAGGATATATGTATTTGTTTCTTTTTCCCACATTTAAAAATTCTGTAATTATTTTATTAATTCGTTTATTTATTATTTCTTGCAGCTTGTAACTGTAACGGATACTCGGACAGGTGTTACTTCGACAGGGAACTGTATAAGTTGACCGGTCACGGAGGTCATTGCTTGGATTGTCGAGCGAATCGCGATGGCGCCAATTGCGAACGGTGTCGCGAAAATTATTATCAACGACCTGAGGATAACTACTGCATTGCATGCAACTGCAATGAGATTGGTAATGCTATAATAATCTTAAATCAAATAATTGCAATCATAAATTCGGTAATTTCTCAAAAGACTCCGCACATACCTTATGGAAATTGACTTTCAGTGAAATTGGCTGAAACTTTAGAAATAGTTTATGTGATCAAACGTTATAATAGGCAAAATTCAATAATCAAACGTTTAGGCGCTATCGTTCAAAAGTAAAAATGAAATGTTATTTCAGTACTATTGTAGTACAGTGGATTTCAGAAATAAATGAGGATCCTGATGCCGTCTGTATTACCGACAAAAAGTTCTCGGTATAAAATCGACCGTCGTGGAAAGCATTAGCGCATATTATACTTTAACTTTGGAGAAGGATTTTTAAATCCATAAAGCCAATAAAAAGATATGCGTTTAATAAAAATGTCAGTATTACAGACGGCTTTAGGATCCAAATTACAATGTATTATT